ATCTAATGCCTTGTACACAACCAGAACAGGTGTCAGTGTAAACTGAATCTGTTTTAGACAGTTTTTTGCAAGTGTCTTAGCCTTGCCTATCTCCTTTGCTTTCGCTGAAAACGGTACAACATTTCACCTGTATATTTATGCAGATTAACCTGGCTGCTGACCCAAGGCAGCCTGCATTGGCAGACTTTTAAATCTACAGTGTTGTTGGTAACTACGGTGTGTTGTGCCTTGTAGATGTGCTCTGCTGCACCCTGTACCAATTTGTCTTCCACTGTGGGTTGCTTGCTTCTGAATTAGGACTGGTTTGGGGATTGTCCCTCTACAGGCTGGAGGGGAGGCCACAGGGCAGGTTGTGACCAGCTTCATGTCTTCAGGCTCTCCTAATTGATGTGGGTTTTTTTGTTTTTGATAGAAATTTAGGTGGTTTAGAAGTTAGTGACAGCCAGTGAGGAAAAGGGCAACAAGGAATGGACTGTTGATCATCTCTTGACATCCTTCTTGTCACACTAAGAGAAATACACATACCCACAGGACTTGAAACACCGAGTAAATGTGATGTCTCCACCATAACAAACTGCTATCTGTTCCCAAAGAACTGACTTTATCTTTATGTGATTTCTTATTAAGCTGTGAGATACCTACTGGGATGTAAAGCAAAATGTTCTCTCTGCAGAATTTCTGCTGACATACAAGGGAAAAACCATTCCAGGGCAGTATTCACTATATTTTCAGCAAACATACCAATTACTTACTTTTTAATTATATATGGTTTTGCTAGGAAAATGTCAATAACAGCAGGTTTGGGGTTTTTTTTACTTTTATGTTCAGTTCCATTTATGCCCTGTTCCAGCTGCACTTAACTTATTCACTAGGTGGAGAATAGAAGCAAGTACTTGACCTGATTGTGTAGATTTTAGACATTTTTTGGGTTTTAAAATGACATTTTCACAGAATGGCCTCAATATCTGAAATGAAGGCAAATATTTTTGAGTTTTACTTTAATATGTACATTAAGATATAAAATTATAGTAATTTAGAAAATATAATAATTTTGACTGAGTTCTCTCAGCTTTCAAATATTTTTTCTGTGAAAAAATCTCTTCTGTCATTTAGTATTGTTTTCTTTTTGAAGAAGTGAATATATTCCAAGTTCATAAGTCTCATGAGAATTTCTTTTCCATGCTGTTTATTTATTGAAAGATACTATTTATATACGCCAAAGAGTAGAAGAGGACAAGAAGTCTGCTCCTGTATAAAATACTAGAAGCTTTACTATGTTTCTGCTATTATTGAAGAAAAATTGGTCATGGTGTTTCTTTACTTATCTGCAAGTTGTTCCATGTATTCATCCTCTCACAGTAAGATTTACCCAGTCTTGAACTTGAGCATCAGCTTTATCTTTGAAGCTGTCTTGTGCTATGTTGAGTATCCCTGTGGTCCTCCAGGCTGCAGGGCAGGTCACAGTGTTAATGCACCAGCTGATCCAGCTGCAAGTCAGGCACACACAGTCAGGATATTGCAACAGCAAGCCTGAGAGAAGCATCCAGACCGGCAGCTGAGAAAACAGCAGCAGTGTAATGTTTTCTTTAGAATTCAGCTGTGCATGCTTACAGAGCTGGAGATCTAAAGGAAGCTGTTTGGAGCAGAAACCTTTCTTTTTCATCTTATGTCTGCTTGTGTGCATATTTGTGCTCCCCTTGCCAAGCCATCTCCATGATTCACCGGGATTCCTGAGCCCCATTCCGGAGGTGGGTGATGCCAAGAAAGCTGTAGAGTGGCTGGTGCAGCATGGACAGACATGTACCTGGGGTTGTCCTTGCAACAGCAATGGAAGTCCTGAGGCAGTCCCAAGACCCTTCCCTCCATAGGCTGAGGGAAAGCAAGTCCAAGCGTGAATTCATAAGAAGTCTGGAAATAAATTCTGTGCTTTCCCTTCAGATGCCGACTATGCTAATATTATTACCCGTGTGGGAGTTCATGTAGGAAAGAACAGACTCCAGAGACTTCTAACTAATTAGGAGCTTGCTGGTTGGCATAAGTAATGAATTATGAGTGAGGTGATACATGAAGTAGTTTGATTTTTTACCCTCCAATTGTAACATAGCATTGTCTTAACTAGGAAACAGAGACTGACCTTGCATTAGTTGGGGAATAGCATGTACAGATGTGGTTGCATGTTGGATTGGAAATGAAATCCCAGGGTTGTTCCGATATTAAGCATTTCAATAATACTACAGTGGATTAGTCTCTAATAATAATGCCAAAGCAATGCAGATGAGTAAGCATGTCATATATGGCATTATAAGGACAGTAATCATGTGCGATTTAAGAAAGTGAAGATGAAAAACAGAATGATGAGGGTATCAAATGGGCCTGGTTCAGAGCACTTGCAGGGATAACCGACTCTTACAAGCAAAACCAGCTTAGGTAGTTTAATTTCTTCCTGATATGATTATGTACAACAAAAGCTACAGAATCCTTCAGAGCAGCAAACCTAATGAAACTAGTGTGCACGCCTGGATGACCTTATTTGTCAGTGTGCAATGAGCACTTCACACCACTCCTCCCTTACAGAGCTGGTGCATCTTTCCCTCCTGCCTACCAAGGAAGAGTGCCTAGAAGTCACTGTTCTGTTGGCAGAAGTAAACAGAAATTTGTCATAATAGAGGGTGAGGAGGAACAAGCCTGGTCATCACTTTCCATGCCAGTAGTTGAAGGGAATTGTATAATTGTTAGTCTGCTTAAAATACTGCTTGGATCTTCTGTTCCACGTGTACTTTGGGCAGCAGAGTATTGCCTAGCCTTGGATTGCAAACTCAGAACATGTGTAAAACACGTGACAGTATTGTGCTATGGCAAAAGATTAGGTATTGCATTGCAGTGCAGTGCATTGTTCATGTGTTGTGTACACATTATGGCAAAGTATTTGTTAAAAAAAACCAAACCTTAGTTGGTTACTAAAAGCCAGATTGTACTACTGAGAATTAAAAGGAAGAATTCAGTCTGGGAGATGGGAGAGGAGGGGAATTTTCCTTTGGACTCCAGATCTTGTGGTTGAGTAAACCCTGAATAAACATGTGTCACACACTGGCAGAACACCTGAGGTTGCATGGTGGGCGCCAATGTACATTATCTTCAGCTGCAATAAGTACTGTGACTAACTCTTGTATTCATTATGAATACTTACAGGTTTTTCTAAAACTGAAAGCAGCATTTTGGTCCATAGCATCTCTACAGCTATGCAACATGTCTGCATGTTCAGAAGCAGGTAATCACATCTGGTCTTTCTGAGCTGTCAAAAAGGCCAGATGTGTGCAAACATTATGGGAGCTCAACAGCTTCCAGATGGTACCAGATGGTGGTTTGGTGCTAGCCAAGTTGGAGAATGCACTGGTTAGCTATGCTGCTGTCTGCTTCTGACAACCTGTGTTGCTGAATACATTGCAGAATTTTTTGGTAGTAGAAGCTTTATAAGCATAGAGGAATTCTTGTCCAAGCATGTAAGTCATGCTGAATAACTGAAGTGAGGTCATCATTGGCTGGAATAGGTAGAAGAGCCTGTCAGACACCTAGAAATGATCAGGAGCACAGGCTGATGCCACATCAGAAAAAGATTCAGCAGCTAATCCTATTAGAAGTACTTCCAAGGATTACAAGCCTATGCACCAGGACTGGAGTCTCTTCTGAATTATTTCCTCTATCTGTCACCATTTCCTCAAATACAGAGATAATGGTGGTGGTTTGGCAATTCTTGTTCAGGACAGCAGTTCCTTGTCATAAAGTGAAAATGTGTTATGTCATCTCCTCAGTCATGTGGAATAATCTTGACAGAGCCTTGTTCCTATTTATATAGTGCTACTTCTACAATTAGTGGTGAACATTTGAATATATACAAGGACCTTGCCTGGTTTTGGGGAGACTTTTCCTCTTTAAATCTTATGCTGCGACAGCAAACTTGCTGATGCAGTGCAGACATACTGTTTGTTTACAGTGAATATATGATGTTTGTATCTGATCAATTCACCTAAAGCTGTGTATTAGTACAGAAAAGGAGGATCCTGAGATGGATGATGCTTTCAGGATTTTTCCAGGTTCTTTAGGATTTCATGTATTTTTCCAGAATATCTGGGCAGCTGGTGGTTTTACTAGGTCTTCCCTGACTGCAAACAGTGGACATGTGTCTTTCTAGAGTTGCAGTCCTGTTGAAACTGCATATGTAGGTTACCTTGTCCACCCATGTGCAATAAGAACACCTCTTTGAAAGTTTGAGGCTTTTTGCTGCATGTGGCCTGCCTTTGTTGTCTGTGGAATTAACTTATCATTTTCCAAGAATGAAGAAACTGCAGAAGAAGGTGTTTTAGCATGTGAGGGAAATTTTATATACACTTAATCACTATGAAAGCCCTTCACTGACTTTATACCTGTTCTGCAGAAATTGCAGAGAGTTACAGTGGAGCTGTATTTATGTAAAAATAAGGAATAAAACTGTTAAGATCTGATGTATCTCTGTCTGGATTCTTGCTATATTCAATTGTTCTATTAACACTGACACAGGTCTCAAAGTGAGTCTGAACCTAAAATTATAGTTCTGTTACATCATTGTGTGGTTTACTCTTCTATATAATCAGTTGAAGTGCATTATAAAGCACAGAGGTCAGAGGTAGAGAGCAGAAAATGAGAAAATATAGCTTTTTTAAAATGTGAAACAACTATCTTTAGTTATAAGTGTTCCCAGACTTCACATTTGTGGGCTCTGTATAGTATACTAGCACGCTGGTGTCTTTTTTAATAACCTTTTACAGAACATATGGCTCAAGATTTATCTATATGCAGAGCCTTGTGGACAGAACTTGTAAATTGTAACATAAAAAATCTCCAGATGTACATGTTATTTCTCACTAACACAGAATGATTTTCTTGGGAAGAAGGTGACATACTAGAAAGGCAACATCTGTGTTACTACTTAAATTTTAATAATGTGAATAATTTTCTTTCAACAGAGGAATTCAAGGGCTCAACAATAGTTGAATTAATGAAAAAAGAAGGCACCACCCTAGGGCTCACAGTATCGGGTGGTATCGACAAGGATGGGAAACCAAGAGTATCTAACCTTCGTCAAGGAGGAATTGCTGCTAGGTAACCACATCTCCAGCTACAAAATGCATTATAATATGTGATTGCTTCACAAATACATACTGCATCAGAAAGGTCACCTAAAAAATATGTGACTGATGCATCTATAATGGCAGCCCATCACTAGAGAACCTCAGAGGAAAATGGCAGCAGCTAGTGCTTCTTTTTGCTCAAGGCTACTTTGATAAAAACTGGAAATACCAATGAAATCTTTGAAAGTTGTCATAAGACTCATGTTATTTCTTCTAAATTATGTATGTTTTATTTCTTGGGTTTTTTTGCCTTTGGACAAAAATTTGAGAGGAGTAGCATAACATACTAGGGGAAAAAAACCAAAATGGATAAAAAGAATGATAGTGCTGCCATAATTTTATTCTTTTTTTAATTCTTCATTAGATAGCTTTGAGATTAAAAAGACTCGAAAGTGATAGGTACCTTGCTTACTGCTACAGTGGAAAGACAAACGCTTTTAATCATGAGTGAGACAAGTGAAAAGATCAGGGTTGAACTAAATCATCCCAAGTAACTAAGTAGAACATATGCTTTTGGCCCTGGCATATGATGTTAGCTGTGAAGGCAACCAGTGTCCAAAACAAAATTGTTTATGGACATTTCCCAAAGAGAGAGACAGGGATGGGAACATGAAGAAGATGACTTCCCAGATCCTATGCCCAAACCAGTCAAATCATCCAACTCCTTTATTGTACAGATGGTTTTGTACCTTAGGAGTGAATAATGCAACAATGTTCTTTTAATATTTAAGAAACTAGAGTAGATTAACATCTTAAAATGCCACTTTCTGTTAGAAAAATCAACTCGTTTTAATCTAGATTCATAGAAAAAAATTCTTACAGTCACGAAACAGTAATTTAAGGGATTTAGTTTGGTTGATCAGATTTGTCTTTCACAAAAGGAATATGCACTTTTCCCTAGGAGTGACCAGCTGGATGTAGGGGACTACATCAAATCTGTGAATGGAATCAACCTGACCAAATTTCGCCATGATGAGATCATCAGCCTGCTCAAGAATGTTGGTGAAAGGGTTGTGTTAGAGGTGGAATATGAGCTGCCTCCAGTCTGTAAGTATTTGCAGAGAAAACTGAGAGCCTATTTGGAATAGCAGATGTAGTCAACAGTAAGATGGACATGGTTGGTAGTAGTCATTTTAGTAGTGGTTGTTTTTTAATTTTCTTTTCTTAATTCTATTTTTTCCTGTGGCTTATAACAGAGCATTGAAGCAGTACAAAAGAACTGGCAGTACAGAGGGATGCTCTCACATATTTTAGAAGCAGAAATCCTGCCAACAACAGAGCAGAGTTACCAATCTCTGCTTTTTGTTGGTTTTTGATCTTCTGGGGATGAGGGTTGGTTTTTGGTTGGTTTTTGGTTGGTTGGTTGGTTGGCTTTTGTTTGGGGATTTTTGCTCCGAAGCTGATGAACTTCCCCACTGCTTTCTAGCAGCTGGAGGGTTAGTCTAGTTATGTATTTGGGGTTTTTTAGGACCTCTTGACAAGCACATGGAATAATTTTGCATGTCCTCTGTTGAGTTAAACACAAACTCTGTTAGTGTTTGCCTGTGGAGAGGGAACTTCATGTTCTGAAGCACAGTATCTGAATTAATCAGCTGAGTTCAGAGTTACTTCACTGCAGATGTAGTTGTTTCACCAGTATTATTTGTTTTGCATTTATTCAACTGGGCTTTCTTTGGTTTTCATCCTCTTTTTGCATATGTGCCACTCTTGTTCACTGAGGCCGGATTTTGAGATGCTAAATTACAGCAGCATTTGTAACTTTTTCTTTAAGTCCTTGTAATTTCCAGCCTCTTCATACAAGAATAGATAATAAAGTTGGAGATAATTAGCAGTCTAGTTGTTTCCATGAACTACTAGTAAGCAAGCTGCTTTTGTTAAACATGTAAGTTTTCCAGTAAGTCATGTGGAGAAGTCCTGGCACTTCCTTCCCAGCCCCATGCATAATGAAATTCTACTGTTGTTCCCATGCTTGCTCCCTTAGAGGGAGGACTGTCATAGTTTCAGAGCCAAAAAATGTCAGTCTTTTAATAATGATGGATTAAATTTGGCTGAGCTCTGGTAATCCCACTCCCTAGTGCTTCCTTCCATTTCTGAAGTGTTCGCAGCAGGAGCATCCAGCTGCTGTTTTCAGCAGGAGCCACCTCAGTGTTTAAAACTGGAAGGTGAGCAGAGCCTGTCCCGTGTCTGCCTTTCCCGACTGGCAAGGGTTAAGGAGTTTTTTTTCCCAGAGCAGGCTGAGGCTGGGGTGCAAGGACAGGCACCTGAGTGGCTGTCCCCAAGTGGAAGGAGGCAGCTGCCATTGCTCACTGCTGAACTGTGGGTTTCACCTCTCCCCTGTGGAAGTTACACAAATGGCCACACCAAACAAATGGGGAAGTGCGGATTCCTCATGAGCTACGTGCAAGGTCACTTTCTGTCAATAGGAATGAAGGCAGAAGTTGTCTTCTCCTCATGGTCCATTTTTAGTCAGTAAAACGTTTCTAATTGAAAAGAAAACCACATGGACTCAGTAACACTGTCACGATCTTCAAGCTGTACCAGGAATTACTACAGCACAGAGCAGTGCTCTGGACAGCCATGTTTCACCTGTTTCCCTAAGAAAATGAGATGTATGTAATTTCACTGGATGGTTCTCCTGGTTCCCTGCAGTAACTTTTTTAATAAGGACTGAAAAACTCCCCAGAAGGTACATTACATACAGTACCTCTCCTGGAAATTAATACCTGAGTGAGTTGGGAGCAGGGGAGTCCTGAGAGAGACAGAGAGGGGCAGAGGGCGCTGAGGGCCCTCTGCTCTTCCTGGTGCCTTTCATTATGGGCAGCACACACAGGGTAGCCTGTGACATCCCTTGCCCCCTCAGGGTATCCTGACAGGGAAACTCTGGTTATTGCAGGCAGGAGCATTGAATGACACAAGTTTTCATTAGTTCTGCTGCTCACAAATATGTATTTTTTAGAGCTGGGTTGGTTTGGTTTTGATTTTTTTTAAATTTGATGTGTGTTTGTACTGTTTGCAGTACTTGAGTGGAAGGTGGAAAGTGTGAGTGCATGTGATTTTGCACAGAGTCCTTTTCCCATTGGAAAATGGAGTTCTTAGACCGTGCCAAAGTTTTTCCTGTAAAAGCTAATAGCAAACTGTCTGCTGGTCTCTTAACAGCAGTGGTTTCAAATTCTGTGAAGTGAATTATCACACCCAAATGCATTGGTCTGTCCATTAGGCTTCTCGCCTCCTAGTCCAGCTGTACACCAGTTCTTTAGTACTTCCAGAGAAAATACTGACTCAACTACAAGCCAAAGAATGTTTTTACTAACTCACCAATTATAAGGGAGCATGCTACATTTTGAAAAAGAAAAAAAGGTCCTTGTGATAACAAAATGTATTATGCATTGTAATCTAGTAACCTAAGGTCAGAGAAACACCCCAAAAATCTTGATTGTCTTCTCTCTAAGTGACAAAAGCAATTGTGTTCATAGCTAAACAAGAAGCTCAATAGGTACTCTTAAGAATTTCATGTCATTTTTGTCTCACTGTGTATTTCCATGTTTTCTAATTTCCATGTTTTCTAGCACTCTTCTGTAACTATAACAAAAGCAAAATTATGCCATAATTATGCCATAAAAATCTCTCAACTGTTATATGCATCTGTGTCTTTTTTCCAAACCATTGTCAGTTTGCAAAATATCTAGCCCAAAATCCTCTGAAACAGGGGATGAGTTCTATTTAATTACAGGTCTTCAGTCTGTCTGTTTTGTAATTGAGACTTTCCAGTTGCATGACTCAATATCCATCTTAAATTAGAAAAGGTGTAAATCTGTGTATATAATTAGAAAAATAATAGCTATTAAGGTTTTGATTCTTTTTCTTTTAGCTGTACAAGGATCAGGTCTCATCTTTAGAACTGTGGAAGTTACTTTACATAAAGAAGGGAACACTTTTGGATTTGTAATAAGAGGTGAGTTATTGCTGAGTTTGAGCTCTGTATTTTCTTGTTAAAAAAAAGTGGTAAGTTTTTGAAGCACAAAGAAATATGGCAAGATGTATGGCTTACAGTTTGTAAAAATCAATATATTACATTTTCCATACTCTCATATGCTGCTTTTATGGAGTGCTCTAATTTTTGTTTATGGAAGAATTTTAAGTAGTCAACTATGTCAAAAAAAGTTACAAACTCTGGTCACATAACACCAGATTCTGTTACCACTGAAATCACCAGGAAGATCATAGTTGTTAAAAAAAAGATTTACATGTAGTACTTGTATATATTAGGCGTGAAATTTGGTTAATACTGCTGGTAGTCTGAATTGAACAATTGAAATATCACTGACTTGGGAAACAGAAGAAAAGATGCAGCTGTTAATTACAATACCCGCATAATGAATTATTATTTTCTTCAGGGAAGATGTGTTTTTTTTTATTTAATACATAAATTATTAGTGGTCACTCATTATTCTGAGTATGCATAAAGTACAGATTTTTGTTCTCTGTGCTGCAAACATTGCAGAACAATGTGTTCACACTTAGATCACATTTTCAGAGTGAAGGTTCTAAGGAAAAAATACTCATTTAGTATGAATCCCTCCATAGAAATGTTTTTAAAGACTCATCTATACATAGAATAAGTTGATTTTATTTAGGTAGAATTCAGTGGAGGGTCATATTAATCGCTTGGCCATTTTTTAATTTTTTTAGCCCATCTGTGAAGGTGCATGCTGCAAGATGTAGGCTTGCCTTTTGGAAATGAGTTTTCATAAAAAGCATAAAATGAAGGCATACTTTCTTTGACTTTTTCCTTTCTAGGTGGAGCACACGATGACAGAAATAAATCTCGTCCTGTAGTAATAACATGTGTCAGACCTGGAGGGCCTGCTGACAGGTACAATTCATCTTTCTCTGGAGTTCATGTGAAAGAGAAATGGAGAAATGTGAATTATTCGGGACAGAAGTTAAGATTTTGAGTGAAATAGATGCATTTAAATATAGTCCTTTGAAATTCATGGGTTTGCCTTTAATTGTAATAGAAATAATAACAACTGCAGCAATAGTAATGGGCAACCACAGAGGCTCAGCACGTTATTGTGTGTGCGAACTTTAATTTAGAATCTTGCACCCAAAATAATTAGAATAAATTCCTGAAATAGGTCAGGGCACATTTTTTTGCATTCTTCAGACAACTGATGTAGCTCTTAAGTATGCTTTTTATACTCTAACACCACAATCTTTTTATCTTGTGGTTCAGAATAATACTGTGACCAGTTTGAGTGGTTTGTTATTCTGTTAAGATGTTTGTACATATCTGCATGTGAGGTCACACATAGCTTTACCTAGAAAACTTCTGGATACAGATTTATGTTTTGGCCATATTTGTATATAATACCATATATATATATAGTAAGAATATTCACTTTATTTTTATGTACAAGCTGTATTTTCAAAAATGGCATTTGTGTCCTTAAACCATTAAAGAAACTCAAAGGGCAGTTTCTTTAAAACAGATTGATATCTGTAGCCTATGCTGACATATTTGACCTTGGAAACTGAGAAGAAAATATTTCAAGAGAGCGTTTCTTTTGTTCCCACACTTTTTTGTCTCCCTCATTCCCTGGTTTCCTTGTTTTTCTCCATAATTCTTACGCTGACAGTGTTAGTATTTAATTTTCTGTTATAATTCTTAATAGGTTGTGAGATATGCCTAGGAGACAGCATTTTAGATTTAGAGCTGAATCACTTCTAGGTAGGAAGAAATGAAAAACAGAATTATGCAAGTAAAAGATATTTTTAAAGAAAATCAATAAATGGGCATTCATATTTTGCAATCTGTTTCAGCACCCATGTGTTTGCACTTCGTGTTTATTTTTAAGAAAATATTGGAGAAGGATGTGTTTATGTGTGTATGAAAACAGAGTTGTGTGGACAAGGTAGAAAGAAAGCATATGTTGAGCAGAAGCTATACTTGGGTGCAATTTAACATGACTTGATTATTTCACTGTGTGGTAAGCTGTTTTCCAGTCACTGACTTTCCAATTAAAGCAATTTCCTTTCCACTGTGCCCTCTGATCATTCTCGCTGTCAAAGTAAATGTTAAGTGCAAGAGGGATGGATGTCAGGGAGGGTGCGAGAGAATCGCTTCGCATAAAAATGGTATTATCTCCAAATCAATTTGTCTTACACTAACAAAGATCACTCCTTTATTCTCCCTTCAGAGAGGGCACAATCAAACCTGGGGACAGGCTGCTGAGTGTTGATGGGATCCGACTGTTGGGAACAACCCATGCTGAAGCCATGAGTATTCTGAAGCAGTGCGGGCAGGAGGCGACTCTGCTGGTGGAATACGATGTCTCAGTGATGGGTAGGTCGTGGGATAGGAAGTGGGGCTGTAACACTGGGAGCCATCTGTGATATTTTGCTGCCTGTTCTCCATGAGCTATTTTAGAAGTGATTGTGACCTGTTATGCTCCTGGTAGCACTGCTATTCCCTTCTGCATTGTATCATTAATTCTGGGTTCATAAGGAGGTGAGCAGTATTTTACTGTAATTTAGCATTCTGACAATTCCGTGGTTTGTAGGCTGAAACCATAGTGTGGATTCTAGCAACGTAACTTTTCCAGTGACTAGTTTATAATAAAGGTTAATGAAGTGTAAGCATTTCTGTCACATGAAGGAGGGGAATACTTGATCTAACAAGAATTCTTTTGCCTTTTGCTAGAGCTGTTAGTTGGACAAGACATAATTAAAAAGTCACAAGACTGCCACAGAGAAAAGAATAGGGGAGAGAAATTTTGTTAAGAATACAGAGGTGGCAAATGGCTTGAAAAATGAGCTTACATATTATACAAACTTTGATTGAACTCACTGAAAATATGGGAGGTTTTTTTGTGAATTCAAGTAGACCAGATGATTTTTAATAAGAGATTTGGAATTTATTTGTTTCCATTTGTTTTGGAAATTGTCATGTTCCCTCAATTTTTTCAAGATACAGAAAATTCATAGCAGCAAGAAACAGAAATACTCACCAGTCAGACTGAAATATTTCTTGTCTGTTTGGGGATTTTTCACTTCTTTTTCTGCTCAGTTCCACAGTCAGGTTTCTAGCCTAGCAGTAAAGCAGCCTCCTAGGGATTTGTGAAATAGCACTGTTGAACTTCAAAGCCTTGGAAAAGATTAATACTGAAAAGAATAATGTCAGATATTTGCTTATTCTGGAACAGCCCTCTTTATTCTTCTCTGAGACACAGATTTCTCTTTTTTTGTTACAATATATGTCTCTGTTTACTTAACTGTCAAGAATTGAAGTGGCAGGTTTGTGTAGTGTCTGGCAGGCCTGATGGACAGTTGTACAGATTCTTGTCCAGAAAGGTGGAGACAGCTCAGATGAGCTCTAGCTTCTGAGAACTAGAATTCAGGTATTTTCATTTGTTTCTTCTTTTTCTTCAAAAGACGATGGATGACCAAACCCTGTCTATCATCACAGTTAAATCAATATTCTTTCTACTCCACTTTTTCTGAAATGAACCCCTGGCTGTAGACAAAGTTCCCAGCAAACTTTCATTTCAGAGAAAACTCCCATCCCCATTTTCCTTGTATACCCCAGGGGGAGAATAAGCCTCCATTTCACTGAGGATATTTGGAAATCTTTGAAGGTTTCTCTAAGGAGGAGACCACATGATGAAATACTCTGTTGTGTCCTAAATTGCAGCTTGTTCAAGGCAGGAACCGTCTTTTCAGTACTATCTGGATAAAGCTCAGTTCAGGAGGATACAGAACTTAGGTGGTAATTTCAGGCTTGTAACTCTATAGGCAGCATCTAGCAATTAGTCTCTTTGTGTCATTTGCTCTCTGAATAAACTTTTTGTTCTCAGCACCAAATCTGGATTTACCATTCTTGCCTTCCTGGCAATGAATATGTTATCCAACGGAATTAAAGGAGGTAGAAGAACCTGAGACTTGTGGAGTCATAAGGAAGGAAGGAAAAGGAAAAACACTGGGAAATGTTTGGAATGGTGGTCCAGCAGAATCTGCAAGAAGAAATAAGGAGGGAACCAGTAGACTGTCTTTCTAATGCATTGTGATATTACCTAGCCCCCAGTAGGTTTTGACTTTTTTCCAATTTGCGTGCCCTGCATAGTATTTTAGCAGTGGTGGGAACAAAAGATTTTGTTGGGAAGCTCTCTTGTGCAGTTATTTTATGACCATGGTGCAAAGGCTGAAAATCATTCATCCTAATCCATTGAATCCTGGCCCAGGAAACCTTTTCTGATTTGAATCTTCTTTTAGTTCTGCTCAAGAGCAGGAAAGTCAGAGTTGGGAGTCACATGAAAGAGAGAATGTGAGTCGTGAAGAGAAATTTTAAAATTACAGAAATGTTACTCTTTTTTCTCAACTCTTATGCTACCCATAAACTGTGTCTAAGGGTTGATGAGAATTTGAAAATAGGCTAAAACAAAGGAAGAGTATTGGGTAAGGTGACTTACCAATAACTGAAGCTTGAAAATCTGTTAGTAGGTTAGCCTGCTTGAAGGGGGCAGAAACAATCCAAAAGTTACACAGAAGTCTAGTATATTCTGTAGGGTCCTCCTGGTATAAGCTTTCAGTAGAATATGTTACTCCTAGAGATATAATTGTAGCACTGTTTGCTTTAATACCTTCTCTTCTGTTAGTGATGGTAGTATCCTATAAAGCAGCATTCTGTGTGGCCAGAACTGGGAAGAGCCATAAAATACATTCTGATAGCATGAAATTGGAACTTGATTTGAAATGGTTTTACTAGATGAAGAAAATAATCCTGAACTATTTTTCAACTACAGTCCTGTAGTGTGTAACTGACTTTTCTTACTCCTGTAAGCATAAGCTGTTTCAAAGGTGCTCTATTTCTCAAAGTTTAGTTCTCCCAGCTGAAGTCTTCAAGAGGTCACTTGGGAAGCTTGTACATTTTATTGTTTCTGGACCCTAGACAAACTGGAGTAAAAAAAAGCATCAAGGGGTTCTGTGCAGGGTAATCAAGTGTGTATATAATGTAAGAGATGTGGCTGTTCATGTTGAATTCTGGGGTTACACCTGTGCTTGCCTAAGTACATCCCGAAGTCTCCTGCTCTGCTGGGTCCTAGGAAATAAACTTGTCAATTCAGCTGCTTGGAAGAGATTTTTTTTTTTAGATTCTGCTGAAAATATTTCCAGGTTGGTGTGTGGAGTGTACTGCTGTGTAGTTTCAAAGAGACTTTGTCATAGTAGGACTTTGAAAATACCAAGATAATCCCTGAATAAAATTGAAAAACCTAATTTCTGAGAAAGCATTTTGTAATGTGATAAAAGTTAAATTTGAAGTTGTGGAGGATGCAGTCTTCCAAATGTCTTTCTGTTTTCCCGAACACATTCTCCAGTGTTTAAGTACTGTGATTGCTTACCTTTCTTGTTGATTTTAGAGGAAACTGCCTGTGTTTTTTAACTCTGTGATGCTTAAATAATGCTGCACTTCGGTGTTTGCAAAGGACATGGATATGGTGACTGGCTGTACACAAAACTGTATAGAATTAACATGAACTTTGTGGGCTTTATTACTTTTCTCCGTAGTCCTTACACCTTAAATGTCTTTCTGGTTATGTGGATCACATACTTTCATCTAGTAGTGGGACAGGTCTGTATAGTGCAGCTCTCTGCCCTGTGATTACACCTGAGCCCTCATTTTGAGGAAGGGGAGAAGTAGAGGCAAGGTAGTAGCTAGCAGTGACTTGCTGCTGCTGTCAAGATAATTTTACAACCTGAATCCTCTCCTGTGGCAATAAAATAAAAAATATTAATTCCAGGCTATAAAATTAGGTTGTAGAGAGTGAAATTCTCACTATTAGGCAGCGGTCAGAGGAAGTACCATAATTAACTTTCACAGCTAGAGTTGTAGTGAGAGTGAGAGTTATAATGCAATACTAATAACAAGCTACAAACAAAGATTCACAGGGCCTTTGTCTAAAACAAGAAATAAAAGGTTATCAGTACATTGAGGAGATGCAGTTTCCCTTCAGGTTTTCAATGATCTGCCATGATGCCACTGGGCTCTGTGTGGTCTCTATAATTGGGGTTGTGTCTTGGGTAACCTTCCATATTTTCTCTGAAAGGGAGCAATCAGACAAGTTCAAAGGTAGTGACTACCTTGAGTTTAAATTCTGGCCATTTTTATGTAACTAGTTCATAAATGGCTGTTGATGATCTTTTGCAGCAACCTACTTTTTAAGTCTTGGATGCTCATGCTGAGGCAATCTTTGAATCAAGGATACTGTAGTTAAACAAAACTAACAGCTTTTGCCAGAACTTGGGCACAAAAGAAGCATTTTTTAGTTGTTTGCACTTGTGAGACACAACATCTTCCTCTCTTCAATGGGTGTTTGTTAGTTCAAACCACTCTGTGGTGTTCAGGAGTAAAGGAACATATTGCACTTGCAAATTCCATATGTTTCTCTGGCTTCTTTAACAGTTCTTGCTCTTATTTGAGCCAGAATAGATTTGCTGGAATGTGGCACCCTGTAAGTTTTCTCTACAAAACAGAAGTAGTCAACTTGTTCTCTGTTGCAAATCTACCAGTCATCCTGGCACAGAACCGCTTGATTTTAATGAGAGCAATGCCCTCTATTTTGTCAACTCAATGTTTAACACTGATAGAACTCCCTAGAAAGGGGAATATTGATGCAGACATTTGCTAGTAAATCTTTTTGCTAGCCTCCTCCAAGGCTTTTGCCTCTTTAAGTTCACCCATTAAAATAAGCTAATTAATTAATTAATTAATTGGTGCTGTAATGATCTTATGAAAGTATATTTACAGAAACCTGCCTCACCTTTCAGCAATTCTGCCTGACAAGAAGAGCACTAGGGAGAGAAAATTTGCACAGTTTAAATATCAGGTGAGATAATCTACAGTCAAGTGTAGACTTTCAGTAACGTGTGGAAGGCAAGAAATTGAGGAGAAAAAAGAACTTCTGGGCTAACCCTTAAGTTTCATAAAGCAATATCACTCAAGTGCATCCAGAGCTGTGGAGACCCTTAAAACCTAGACGTTTTACAAGCCCAAAGGAGCAGAAGCCCCAGAGACTCCAAGGACTGACTTGGGATCTTCATAAGCCTTTTAAGTGTTGCAAAACCTTGCAAGTTGAAGTAAGGTCAGGAGCCCTGTAGGATTCCACACTGCCTTTTTCTTTATGTTGCTTTACAAACTTAAAATGTACATTTCTCTTGTCTCATGTAGCGTTTTGACAGAACAGATAGGTTAGCATACTCTAGCATTGGACTGCAACTGCTGGTCTCCTGGCTGTCACAGGGCAATAGATTTAGATCCCTTGAAATTCTAAGTATGAATTAGCTGCGTAA